AGCTCATTATACTCTCGACTCTTGTTCATTAAACATACTTTTTCATACAGTACCTACCTGCCAAAAGTTTTGTTCGATCATGAATAGTAGTGCAAGTCGAAAACAAGCGTTAAAGCCTTTAATACGTCTTCAAATATAAATAAACATCTCCTTGATATTTTCAGTAGTAAATGGTACCAATAACAGCACATTTGAGCAATGCAATTGTAGTGGATAAAATGGTCAATTTTTCCGTGCACTACTGTACGGATTCTACGATCCTCACCGGTTAAGAGTTTGGCCGAGAGTTGTCTCCTTTCTTTTCTGGTCTAGTGCTGTTCTTTTCTACTTTGCGCCGGTCAAACTGAAGGACAGATTGCTACAGAAAGTAAACGAAATATAGTGAAAACGAATGTATTAAAAGAACCGATGTATCTATTCACCAGCACCATACCGATGGCTACGAAGCATTTACCGGTACTGTGCCGGTGACTGAGAAGCTAGAAATGCTTCTTTACTATGAAAAAGATAAGCTAATTCCAGACGAAGTTCGAAGTTTATTATTTCGACAATACGACTTGCTTTCAAGTTAAAATAATTGGAGAAATTTCAAATTTTAGAACAGCATCAAATCAATTCTATAATCGAATAATATATACATCAGTAAAAAGTATCAAATCATTTTGTAAAATATCATCGGATATTAGACCACCATTTTGGTGAAAGACTTGGTAAAAGAAAATGGATGCTTTACAATGTAGTCTTAATGTAGTTTTAAATTTACCAAAAATGACGGTTTCTTCAACTTTTTGTGAAATAAAGTTGTCAACATGGGAAATTGTTCGTAATAAATTACGAAACATATTCCAATCGACAAAAGCGGAAGAGTAACTGACTTCAATATATGTCTACCGAAGTTGATATTATTTCGTTTTTCAAGTTGAATTGTCTGATACCGAGCACATAGCAGCAGACCTCTCTGATGATGGATCAATTGACAAAAAAAAATAAACAATAATAAACTGAAGGATGATCTATTTATCGAACTATGGAAGAGAAAACTATCCAGGAAGCGATAGCTGCCCTGAATCAAACGGATGGCGACAAACCTGCCGAAATCGCTGACAGAATCCATCATTTAGCATCAACGCATAACCAAATTGCAGCGATAGAGCCGCTGCAATTTTCTTCAATATGCGAGCAATTTATAAAACTTAGTGAAAGGATGGAAACGATGCAGTTAGATGTCATCAACAATAATAAACTGAAAGATGATCTATTTATCGAACTATGGAAGAGAAGACTATCCATTCGGATCCAGGAAGCGACAGCTGCCCTGAATCAAAGGGGTGCCGACAAGCCTGCTGAAATCGCTGACAGAATTCATCATTTAGCACCAACGCATAACCGAATTGCAGCGATAGAGCCGCTGCAATTTTCTTCAATATGCTAGCAATTCACAAAACTTATGGAAACGATGCAGTTAGAGGTCATCAGGAAAAATAGCATGCAGCAACAGCAGCAGACCTCGTTCTTGACCCCAGGGAACTAACCGGATATGTAGCAACAGCCATCACAGGTTTGGCGAAAATTGCCGATAGGGTTGCCACTTTTTTTTTATATAAATAAAGGACGTTGGTTATTAAAGGTAGAAAAAAAAGTACGCTCTGGTCAAAATAGAGTACAATTTATTAACAAATAATTATCAGTTAAACAATTGCACAGCATCTCTACAGCCTAGATTTAAGTTAAGTAAATAAGTGTCAAATTTTGAGACGCTTTATTTCTTTCGTTTCGCCATTTGTAATTCATCACAGAAAAAACTCTCTCTGCAAATGCAGATGTGGCGGGAATCGGCAGTAAAAATGAAAAATTAAAATAATAAACAAATTTGAGTAATTATCATCAGTCTTATTAAATACTTGCTGCTATTTTTGTGCAGTAGATAACTCCACAAAACCATTAGAACAATATATCTGATTATACAATATCTTTAATAATGAAAGTTCTGCCTAAAAGTCATCCATATTTACATTTTTCAGATTTAAATTTTCGACTATTTTCACAAAATTATCAAATTTAACATTACTTTTTAAATTTATTTTGTTAAGTGTAAATAATCATTAAATTATATTATTTATTTATCGATCTCAGCAACTCTGTCATTATATTTTACGCAAAAATTCTTACAACCGCTCTTTTTTTGTATATTATACGTATCTTAAAATGTCAGAGAAATCAAATCATTTGAAATAAAGTATTTTCGTGTAAGTACTTTATTTGTTGCATAAAGTATAGAGTACAAAGTACAGTTACCCTAAATAACGTTCAAAACTTTATAATAAAGTACGGGTGGCAACCCTAATTGCCGACGTAAAAAATGCGTATCACCGTATAATTTCAAAATTGCAGGTTCCCAAAAAGCCCATTCTAACTTCCTCATAGTTGTTTTAGGTCTGCAGATAAGCAGTTTTTCATTTTTAAGTAGGTAGGTACTAATCATTTTTGTAACTTCTTAAAACGGTGTATATCGAAATATCGAAAGTTCAGAACATTTATCGTTCCTGATATATTATTATTATTATTAGCTTTTCGTTGTCTCGCTAGTTCCCAGCATTGTTTTCAGGGTGAGAAAGCGATGCAGCCACAGGGGGCATCCATTAATTACGTGAGCTCAGAATAGGGGGCAGGGGTCCAACGAAATCTAATCAAATCCCATTTAAATCTAGGGAGGGGGGGGGGTAATCGAAAATCTCACGTCAACTTCAAAAAATATAATATTAGAGATATTAAAAAGAAATATTTTGAATGTTCATTTTGCGTTTCCAGTGACTGTCTTCCTGCACCACCAGNCGGAATAAATTAACTATAGTTTACTGAACGATTTATTATTTTCCTGAATAATAAAAATAAATTAAGTTTAAAATATTTTTAGCGTCAGTCTCACGTAAGGGGAGGGGGGTCCTGGCAAATCTCACTAAATCTCACCTAATTAACGGATGCCCCCATATCAAACCAACACAAAATTTTTGACTAGTTTAGAAATAGAACAATTTGTTTCATTGTCGCCGATACTGTCAGGAACAGCTGCTGATAGGTAATTTTCTGCAGGATTGCACAGTTATAAAAGCAGCAGAACCACAGGTATCGATAAAATAATTGTGGTTGTTTCACCTGGCAAATACCCGATTCCGCTAGTACATGGGATTAGAACGTGGAACGGATACGTAGGACAATTATTTACGGTTCTAAAATCCAGGTATTAAACACTGATTATTCGTGGGTGTGTTACATAAGTGAGGATGATGAGTGAACTAATAAGCAAGAGATCAGACATTATTTTTATTTATGGTGACTATGAAATTTTTTAGAAAGATTAGCAGCCACGTTTTCTCATAAAAAATGTTTAAAGTATAAAAACGTAAACAACTTATCACGGTAGCATGAACATATATTCATGAATACTGACAACAAAATTACGTAATTAATTTCAGAAAAAGGTTATGCATTCAAAGTTTGAAGTGGTTTATGAATTTCGGCTTTTGCGTAAAAAATGATATTTAGGAAGTAAAAACTTGCAATATGGTTGTTCTAGATTCGAGATTTTTTGAATATCAGTTTTGTCCAGGCAATTATTATAGTGGAAATTCCGAAGCAAACAAAAATTACTATCGACTGTTTCTATTATCGAACCGATCAATATCAAAGATTTTTGAAACAGTTTTTATATTCTTCGAATGATAAGTGACAGAATACTTTTCGGAATCATCTCGGTGTCTCTCACTATCATAGGCCTTCTTTCTCAGACCCAAAAGTACAGGTGAACTTCAAAACCTGAACAACTTTGACTTTAGTATGAAAAAAATTCAAAAATGTATAATATCGTTCTGGTGTAATGATAAGAGAAAGAGAGGGCCAAGATCTTACACTCTCACATCGTTTTCGTTACTTTCACAAATTCTGCGCAAGGCTCCTCACTTCCACAAGGAATCATCATCCGTTTTTTCACGCACAAAAGAATAAAACCTGCCAAGATTTTGGGAAGACGTAAGGCCCAGGTAGGAAATAAAGCCTTGGAATGTATTCCAGGTAGCATTAGAACACCTTTAATGGCCTTTTCCACCCTGTGATTATCACACATTTGGTCTCATGAAAGAGAAACATTAAGGGCACATACTTATGATAACGATAAATATAGTCAAATCCGACCCTAACGTACAGACTCATTACCCATATGAATTAAATCAAAAGTCACAAGAACTACCAAACTTAATGACTAGTTATAGTGTGATTCTATATATCTTGAGAGTCTCATTGCTGGAATTCCACGGATGTTTCTATCTGAAGCAAACCACAAATGCCTTACTGAATGATAAGACCATAAACTGAGACCACAATTGTCCCGAATTCGATATCACCGTTTTCGTCATTTATATTTAATATTATTAATGCATCATTATTGCAATTGTTATTCATATTGAATATCTTTTCAAAGCATAACATCTTCCAAATGAAGTTAATTTGAATTACATCAGTGAGTTCTAGACTTTAACGGATACTACATCATTTATTTTCTCAAAACCGTTGTTAAAATTCAGAAATAAACAAATTAATGCTCTTATCACATAACATTTAAACTTTATGAAATAAAATGATGCAATTTGTCAGTTTATACTAAAGGACAGGTATAATATATGTAATATGAGTAAAAATACTTTTTAATACCTACACCATTTGTAATCTGTAAGATAAAAAAAAGATAAAATTTACATCACGTTACTTCTCCTGAAATATAATTTGATCATGAGCGTTATAGATTGCGTACAATGGTAAAATGTACTTATAATAGTATGTAAAACATACAGACAAATATTTAAAAACTAAATGTGAACTGTAAGAAAACAGTTAGGTAGCTACTCCAGAAAAAAATTGATTGTCGGAATAAAAATAACCTCCACAAGCAAACACTGGGAGTATCAGCGTCTATATACATATATAATGTGGGTCAAGACAATACTCACCGCTATAAGTAGGTTAAAAAAGAAAAGTAAATATTTAACAAGGAACGTAGAACAACCCATTGTAGATCTATCCTGGAAACAACTTTAAATTGTTTTATTAAAAAGTTTTTAAACACAAATAAGACGCCGAAGGTATTTCTAATGAAGAACTTGAACGCACTAGAAACAAACAACACGCTCAAAACTGGGTGCGCTGCGTCGCTTACTACACAGAACGGTTACAAACGAGCTGCTGTACCCACTAATAACCGGCAGACAAACAGGTTCTCGTTCGTAGTTCGTAACAGTAAAATGGTCGCATACACACAAAGATTATAAAATCGTGTGACGCAGGCTGAGCAACGTATTTATCGTGTGGATTTGTACGCAAATAAAGAAAATAAGAAAACTTTTAAATGTAAACTGTAGTATTTCATAAACTGGAGTATGGTGACCAAGAACTTAATGCTGTTGTAGTAGTATGATCCCTTGTAACGTCTTATAGGTGGTGGTGGTGGTATCTGCCAGCAGGGCCGTAACGAAGTATTCTATTTTCGGAAGGGGGAGGCGCATCCGATTAATCAACAGTTGTACTTCAATTTTCCAACTAAAGCTTTGCTGACACGTGCAAAAATATACATCTATAAATAAAAAATAGGGTAAAGGTCTAGATGATGACCCTCGACCCCTTCGGGTGGGATCAAAAGAGGAGGTCTCCCCTACCACTGTACCATAAAAAGTTCGTGGCGATCTCACCCCCACAATAAGTTATGGGGGTTAGATGATGGTGGGGGTAGGGGAGATCGAAAGTAAAACCTGAGTAAAATCCCATAAAAAATTTGCGGCGGTCTCACCCCAATAAAAAGTTATCGGGGTTGAAAATTGATTATTTTGACAATTTTCATACACTAATTCAAATAAAATTCAATAAAATAATTATTTTCAAGCGGGTGGAAATGGGGGATCGAAAGAAGGTGGTCACTTGAACAAAACCCGATAACCTAACCTAACCTACGTAATCCTATAATGTAGCATCGTTTTATATAACATTCTCAATATTTTCATCTATTTTTTATTAGTTTTAGCTTTGAATATTATATAAATATTTACATGCCTAGAAATGTATAAAATATTGGCATATTTATTAACTTTGAACCCCCATAACTTTATATGGGGGTGAGACCGCCACGAATTTTCTATGGTACAGTGGTGGAGGAAACCTCCACTTTTGCTCCCCCCATTCCTCCACCCTTCGGGGTGGGGGGCCATCATGTAGACCTTTACCGAAAATAATTATCAAATATTAATGTTAAATCAACTTCATTTCATCCCACTGCAGATTACCTCAAATTAGCAACGTCAACTTTTTTGTTCTCCCCGGAAATCGAACCCGAAAAACTTTTTTAAAGTATTGATATTAATACAATACAATAGGTTGTAGAGGTCTCGTTCTCTACTGAAAAGAGAGAAAAGATGTTTCGTCCCGAGAGCACGCCTGAACTGATCAGTAAGGCTGACGACGTGCTTTCTGACTTAGACATCTGAAGACCTGTGGGATCGAAAGAACTAAAAAAAACTTTTGGGTGCTTAGTTCCCAACAGCCAGTAATGCTGAAGGTTGGAGAGTCCCTCTGGACTAGAGTGGAAGACTCTCTTCAGCCTCCTTTTAGGAATCGTGGGAATGGGTGGGTGGTGGTTCGGGTGAGAAAGGTAGGATGGACGAAATGAAGACAGAAGAGGATGAAAGATTATCTGTGGAATGAATATTACTGCCCCTACATTTGCCTAAGTGATCCAAGGAAACCACAGAAAAACTTGGACCAAGACAGACGGACCCGGAATTGAACCGGCGTCCTCCCGAATGCTAAGCAATGGTCTAAACCTCTAGATCATGCCGCTCGGTAGGAGGCCGAAAGGAAAGCAGTGCTCTTATACATATATTAATCGCGGTGATTTCCCGCCACCTGCGAGAGATGCTGACTGAGGTGTGACCACCTAGTGGAAGACGCCGAAGCAAGGGGTGTGTGGCGAGAACTGTCGCGATACAGGCGGGTCGCCACAAGATTTATAAAATTAATTAATAAAAAAATTAAAGCTTACTCGAATTCACCCTTGTTTAGGTTTCGTTCATAAATTCATCGATTTGTTTAGGTTAAGAGCATCTCAAAGGTCTTTTTCGATTTTTATCACCATTAGGGCATCAAATTTCTACTCATTAATATTGGACCTGATCGAATTTTTAATTATTTTAAGTAAATTACATTTTTCAGTATTTTCATTTGTAATATTCTTTTTGTGAGGATGTTTGAAATTGGAATTTTGAGTTTATCTTGTAAAAATTTTGTAAGTTTATCTTAAACGCATTGGATTGAGAGTTATCAATTTTTGTCGGAAGTCTTCGTCTTCGGTGATGTCTTTAAAAATCCTGTTCTAGATTAATTATCTTAACCTTCTAGTAAAAATTTTAGCACTTTCTATTAAATTTAGAATTACATCTTCCTGTTGCCTTATTGAAATAAGAAATTCTCTGGTTCTATTGATAATGCAGGNTAGAAATTTCCGACGTCAGCCGTTTTGTTCTATCGTAACGGTGTGTTGCCCTTTAAGTTTCCGTGGAGTAATTTGTTTAATTTTGAGTGCGTGTGGGCAGTGTTTGGTAGAAATTTCCTATAGAAGTTTACGAATTATCCCCTCAAGCTATTAATGTATGCGATAATATGCTTCTGGTAACCGATTTACTATAAGGTACTTGGTTTAAAATATTAACCAGACGTCCGATTTCTTGATGATACTGTATTGATGATCTGTGCTACTTGCGAGAGTTCAGTGAACACGAAATAAGGTCCGATATTACTTTTACGGTCCCTATGCCCTTTTGTAATTTTATTACAGCCCGTATACAGCAATGCTCTTCGAGTTTCTCAAGCAATTTTACTTTTACTATTTCTTAATTAATAATACAAGTTAAAAAAGCCAACTGAAGCAGATATTGGGTAGTCATTTTGTTTGCATAGAGCAACTTTGGTTTGATTGTAATTGCCCATGACTGATAAGAACTAATAAATTCGGAAACACCATCCAGATCTGATCATTTCATTATACAAATAATTACTAATTACTAATTTACATATTGCTGCTATAAGAATGAAATCTTCAATTTCAAAGGAGACAACCCCCAAAATAGTACACGCGAAAAACCAAAGAACGTTGGCTCTTCTCAATGTTGAAATTTTTAAAGGAACAGTTGCTGCATCCTTATCATTTGCAGCGAATACAACTCTTTCTTGAAACTACCTTTCAGCCGCGAATGGATTTCTATCGGTGGTTTCGAAAGAAAAGTACTGTACAGCCTAATTTCTTCTATAGAATGTTGTTTACAGACTTTGCTTCATGTGGGACGGAATTCTAATAATCATAATAATCACTATTGGTGCGACGCAAAATTAATTGTAATTACCACAAAAACTTTTCGAGCGGACACGTGTTTCGCCCACTTCATACGTGGGCATTATCAACGCGAGACTTTTTTGTGGTAATTAGGGATGAGTCTTCTTTTTAATTTTTTAATTAATTATTATTTACCCCAGTCTCCTTTTTCTACTTTTTTGATAGAATATAAAGTGCACACTTTACCTCAACAATAGTAATTCTGATAATGACATAAAGGAGAACATATTGCTACAATCAAAATCCCCTACATTAGTAGTGGACTTGGTTGACTCCATTAATGTTGTATTGGTACGCCACTCTTGTCATTTTGTTCTGGCATTTAAGGTGGTTTCCAGCTGGATTCTTATGCTGGCAGCGTAGTTGAAGAAAGCTTCATTACAGTGCTCCAGCCCATAATCGCTATGTAGAATTTCCTCCTTAATATTAAACTTATTCTTTACAAGACCTACACACTGTTTGGCACAACTGGAAACGGTTCGCAAATGTCGGAGCACACCTTTTTACTATTTTTTACAGACAGAGTGCCCATTTTTTTGAGTTGAGCTCTGTGTTGCTCACCGAGTAAACAGGCTTCACAGAAGAAGTTCGTTATTTCGTTGAGTTTAGCGCTGATCAGTCCTTGCTTCAGTAATTGATACACAATCCTAATATTTATATACCCGATGCACTCAATCATTGAGGCAATGATGTTGTGGAAGTGATATTCGCTTCTTTGACCACCTTGAACACGAGTCTATATAAGTTATCTTTGCAACGGCAGTAGGGAATTTAGGGGATTAATCTTTTAGATTCGTTAGATTTTGCCTATCAACAGTCAGACCCCCAACCCTTTATGTGTATACGGTGAGCTTTTTTTGTTGTTGTGCATTTTGTTAACACTTTTGCGTTTGCAAACGCCCCCCCCCCCGCATTGCCTTTTATAGAATATTTTGTAATGATTTTGTATTCATCCATTTTATTAATGACAGGATGGGCGTGCGATGATGTCCATTTTTGTTGTTACTTGTATGGTTTACCGCCTATAGATCATGTCGCCGCCCGTGTAAATGTTTGATTGTATGTGCTATGAATGAAGTATCTCTCGGAGTAGGAAATTACGACAATGTCTATGTGTACGTGTTCGAATCTGTCTGAAGGCATGTTGAAGATTCCCAGAGGTGCTGAAACGTACCGAGAAATTTTTGCTTTTTGTGTGTAATCATTTGTCGTAATCACTGTTTGCTGATGGCCAGATGAAATGTTGTGTGATTAGTTTATTAGATGCACGAATACCAGGGTGTGTCAAGGAAATGGCGAAGAGAAACGATGGAGTCAGTAACGACCTAGCTGTTACCGCTGAGATGTTACACAAGATAGCTTTGTTGGTATCCGGCATATGGATACGTTCTAATACTAGGGACTTGTTAGAACTGAAATATGGTTGCAGTTCTCTATCGAACTCTTATTAAGTTGCAAGGGCTTCGTAATCGATGGGACTTGATACTTTTGAAACGTGCAAAGGACTGTCTGCTACGATGTTGTCCTAACCCGAAACATGTTGTATATTTGTTGAAAATTGTCTGATGAAATTTAAATGACGTAACTGTCTCGGGGAGCATTTGTCAAGATTCTGACAGAAAGCAAACGTTAGAGATTTGTGATCCGTGAAAATAATAAAGTCACGAGCCTCTAGAAAATGTCGAAAATGCTTAATTGCACGATAGATTGCGAGAACTTCTCGATTGAAAGCACTGTACTTAGTCTTCGCGTTGGAGGGTTTCCAAGAGAAGAATACTAAGGCCTCCCAGTTTTCATTGTGGCATTGTTGTAACGTAACGCCCAAGCAGTGGCTGCAAGCGTCACAAAATGTAGCTAATGTTGCGTTGGGTTAAGGATGATATAGGAGACTGGATTGAGCAAGTTGTTTCTTACTGAATTTGAATGCGTCGTCAGCCGTTTTGTTCTATCGTAACGGTGTGTTGCCCTTTAAGTTTCCGTGGAGTAATTTGTTTAATTTTGAGTGCGTGTGGGCAGTGTTTGGTAGAAATTTCCTACGTCAGCCGTTTTGTTCTATCGTAACGGTGTGTTGCCCTTTAAGTTTCCGTGGAGTAATTTGTTTAATTTTGAGTGCGTGTGGGCAGTGTTTGGTAGAAATTTCCTATAGAAGTTTATCACACCCAGAAATTGTCGCAATTTTTTTGCCGGTTTTTGGTTTTGGGTAATTTATGATGGTTGTTACTCTATCAGGTAAAGGTCGTATACCTTTTGCATAAATAGAGTAATCTAGAAATTTGGCCGAACCTGCACTGTCTGTTTAGAAGGACACCATATGAGTTTAATCGCGTGAACACTGTAAATGCTCTTCGTACTGAGTTGCGGATTCCGAGGCGACGAGAATATCGTCGATGTAGGCAAACGAAAGTCAACGCCGCGTAATACTTCGTCTATGAATCTCTAAAATGTTTGACTGGCGTTGCGTAAATCGAAATTTATAATCGGGAATTCGAATAATCCAAAGAAGTTGTTATTGCCGTCTTCGAAATTTCTTTGTCAGCAACCGGAATTTGATTGTATGCTTGAACTAAGCCAATTGTGGAGAATATTATTTTTTTGGATAAGCCGTGCATCAAATCTCTAATGTTTCCGACAGGGTATCTGTCGGGAATGGTTCCTGTGTTGAAGAAGCGATAATCCCCACATCGTCTTTCTTCGGGGTCATCTGCAGTGGCGATGCCCAGGGGCTGGAGGAAGGGCGAGCGATGCCCAGTTGTATCAGTGTCTTGAACTCTCTTTTGGCTGCTACAAATCGGTCTGGAGCTAGAAGTCGTGGTCTGCAAGATACGGATGGACTATGTTGTATGTTTGGAGCGCAGTAGTGACGAAAATTGCTTGAGTAGATCGTTGTACCTGGATGTGGCGAATTTGTTATCCGTGATGAATGATATTGAGGGTTAGCTATCCAGAAAACATTAGCTTCTTACATCTACGAGCAATTGATAGTGGGACAAAAAAATCGGCGCCAATTATTGGTTTCTTAAAATCCGCAATTACAAATATAAAGGCGATGTTGGGCAAGGCGAATATCACTCGTCGCTGCTAATGATTTCCGTTGCGGTTTTCCGACCGCATTGAACATGGAGGGGCGCATTTGAGAGCTTTGTCTTTGAATCTCCGGTGATAATAACACTGACCGTTTGTCCGATTGTCACTGTTTGCGTGGAACTTCCGGGAAAACTACACAAACGCAACCGTGATTGAGCAAGTCTTGACAATCCATTTTGAGGGAGTTGATCATCTCTACCAGATTCTGTATTGTAGGACCATTATTGGTTGTTGCACTGGCTATCGTGTGTCCGTGGACCGAGTCAATGATGCTGTCGGCAAATTTCTGCACCGTCATCTAGGCCCTTGTCTCTCATTGCGGTAAGGATCGGCTGTCGTCGAATGAGTGCTGCCTTGATTGTGCTGTATGGTTCTTCCTCCTGATGGTTAACGATAATGTCACGTACTTCTACGGCGTATTGGGGATCAAGATTACCAAATACATACCCAAGTTTGGTAGCTTCCGAAGTGATTGCAGAGGCATCAAAACTGCGATCGGTTACGAAGATCTATAACTCCTAGTCAGAAGGGACGAAGATTGGCAAGCGGTTGACGGATGCTTGAGCAGTGACAGCTAGATGCCGCATGTTGACTCGTTTGGTTTGCCTGATGGATGACGACGATCTTCCCGGTAGGATGTCCAAAGATGATTTGTGGCCGGAAGGACGGTGTTGCAGCTTATTTCTCCATCAGAAGGCGCAGTTGCTTGTCGAGGTCACTAATGTAGCGTGCGTGACGCTGACAGGTAAGGATGCCAGGCTCGAGTCTATTTGCTGAACTGGAGGCTGGATGATGATGTGACTATGGTCAGAAGAAGATGAGTCTACTTGAGAGACTAATTTATTCAATATATTTACACCGTAGTTATACTATTATCATTTACATAGATTAAATGCAAAATGTTTATCAAGCAGTTTGGTCCGAGTTCGTTGGTTGACCCAGTTTTGCTCAATCGACAGCCACGATAGAAATGTTGAGTCGCTTGCATACATGTGCATGTACCGTATGTCTACAAATTATATACCATACGGAGTATTCCCACAGGAGCCCTTCCCTAGTGATTAACGACATTGATCATACTGCTGTAAAGTATTTTCGGAAGCGTACCCGACGTCCTGAGCGGGTTGTTTTTGTTGATTGAGCGCTAGTTGCAGGCACATGAGAGAGGATTATGGATGTTGTTCCTTAGACATTGTATGCTGGTTTAAGTCGGTGAATAGATACGGTTTTCTCTTTGGTAAGCAGTTGGACAGTGAACGCGTGGTTCCACCATCGTGGAGATCTTTGTAAATGATGCCCCTTTGCACCGACGTAAATAAGTACTACTTAACTTTAAGTAGTTCTTAAAAGACGGAATTGGTTTGCACCGCAAGTTAAGTCGCGCTTAAGAATCGAAACAGATGCTTAACTTTAAGCACAGGATGTTCCTGACTTAAGCATTGCTTAAGCCTATCGTAACAATTTCGGCAGTAGTTCAGCATTTTTCGCCGTAAGAAAATAACATCGTTATAGTAAAGAGGTTATTATCATGTTACTATTAAATAATAAAATAAACAATATAATAATTATTAAATTAAATTATCATTAAATGGAAGTTGGTGTGTGTTATCATTTATGTTATTGTATTGCAATGTACGGATTATTTACATTCCAAGAGTAGTAATTAGTATCTGATGATATATTAGAAATTTGAAAATGTACACAATTTAACTGGAGTAGTGATAAGAACGCCAATAGCTAATCATTAGTAATAGAAGGTGAACTAATAATATACAATAATAGTACGTTTTATCAGAAGTTTGGTTTTTATTGAAAATAAACACTTTTAGATTACACTTAAGAGTTCATTTTGGCAGTTGGCGTTAACAGTTAAACTCCTGTAGTACTGCTTTTAGTTGGAAAAGGTTTGTTTATACGAAATTCAGAAGAAAATTGTCTCTACACTATACCAATTACAACTAAAAATTGTTTCTAACATCATATCACTAATATATATACAAACTAAAACACAACAAAACCTAACAAAACACAAATAATTACAAAAACAAAAACGTATAAAAGCAGAAAAAGGCGGCAAACAACACTTCACGACACCAGATGTTACTTAACGGACACAATAAATTTGAAACTTCTTGACCATTCTGCACAAAAAACCCTACAAATTACTAAATTTTACCGTTGTTGCCAAACCATCAACAACTAAGCACTACTTACTTAAGTTGCAGGTAGACAGCGTACGGTGCAAACGAATTGGAAGTTAAGTAAGACTTATGCTTAAGCAGTACTTTGTTAAGTCTGCCGTAGTAAAACGTCGGTGCAAACGGGCATCAATTTTTTTATTTTCCCCATGTCGTGTTCCAGATGCAGGCTTTAGTAGTTGTAGTAGTTGACGAGGCTGTTGTACGTACGTTGATGGGCTGCTATTAGCCTGTGAGCTTGGTGGAGATAGGAATTCTCGAGGTAGTGACTTTCCGTATACCATGTCAGCTAGTGTTCTTTTCAAATCTTCCTTCTATACTATATTCGACCGGATAATGCCTAGTTCCCTCCCATATACCTGCTTTTAATTAGGGTTAAAATTTTCGGTATGTCGAATTCCCTCCTAGTTACACATCAATTGNTTTTTTTTTCTGAAATTATTTTACCTTTAATTTACTGAGGTACCGAAATGCACTATAAATATATATTTATTTTCGATAAATAAAATCGGTAAGTAGACGTTAACTTAATTCGAACCAATCTAACTTCTTAATTACATAACTCACGGTGCTCGACATGTTTTCTACACAGAATGTCGACCGGTGGATGCTGCCTGGTCGCCGCTTCTCAAAAACCTAAATTTTTATTAAACTTTTTTAACATATCATCTATGACCCATTACACACTGTGGGCTCACGATCTAGTGAGTATTATGGATTTCGAGAACCTATGCAGCAGCTGATCAAAAGAAAAATGAAGATTGGTGAGAGCACACATTTAATGTGGCAAAACTAAAACGCCATCTTAATTAATTCTAAAGTGGTACAATTTTAATTCAAATACTTGTACATCCTGTAATGTTCGTGGGTTTAACAAAATTTAATTTCTAAGAAGAAAACTATTTATTTATACTAATTATTATTGAACTTAAAAACACTATTAAATTATTACTAAATTTAGGTTATGAATTATTCTAATTATTTACACTACTGTTAAAATATCACTATTAACTGCGCTATTTATTTCACTTCTATCACTGCCAATTTATTTCTTGATTCATTTCTGCAACGGTCAATTTATTTCTACTCCTCTCTCGGCGATCGTCTCTTCCTTTATATACTCTTTTGTGTCCTTTCTGGGACTTTCTCGAGCCGCCCGGAAAAGTTTCGTTTTCTTTAAACTGTTTAATTGCTTTCCCGGAACGCAGGTACGACACACACGTTTACAGATACGGCGCATATGAAGAAAGGCGCCCGCGGCTAGTCGGCGAATTGATAAGCCGCTTACACACACGTATGCCCGATCACACACAAACACGCTCGTGCTCGCTACAATACTAATTTTAATCCCACTATGGAACGTAGTTCCTATTACCTTTTCAAAATAACATAAACCGTAATTAAATTATTTTTATTTATAATTTGCGGTAATTATAACTTATAAATTAAGGACATATTAAATTTTAGTAACATTTATGAGACTAATATAATAGGTATATAAAATTTAATAATTAATTTTTCGGTATTTTTTTGAGGGTATGTCTTAAATTTACATTATTGAGGACAGCAACGATAAGCACAAAGCACTTACAACAATCTAAAACAGAATAAGAAGGCATTCATTATTAGACGGCTAAAGCTCTGGAAAAAGAAAGAAATGGAGTGGAAAACTAGCTTTGTGGTTTGAGTACTAACCAGAGGCGAACTGGCTATATAAATATAACAATGGGTGCAATTATATTGGTTGGTTGGTTTATGATTTAATTAGGGACTTGCTAAAACATCCAGCGCCGTGCATTGCTTTAATGGGATTAATTTAGATGCTATTGGGAGGAGGAAGTTCACAGTCGGTCCATTTCACATTTTAGTAAGATCAACACTATACCACCTGTCCGCCTCTGGTATTATTATTAATAATAATAATAATAACCAGTGGAAACTGAGAAGTCCAAGATAATAATAATAATAATAAAAAAAAAACGAACGAGTGATATAAAAACGTCGCGTTGTTACATACCCATCAAATTTAACATGTGTACATTTGTACCTGTACGATGACGCGAAAGAATGAAATGTTTGCCTTTATTTCATTCACTTTGTCAGTCCGTGACGGGCTTCGATCGAAAATAATTTCAGATATGCTAATTAATAATCGTAAAAATTGAGCGGACAGTTAATTCCACTTCTCAAAGATCTTATAATGTTAATTAGAGAAGATGCGTATTTGTATATACGTACTAATGCACGACTACGACTATCTGCATATTATTACGTTTCTGTTTGCGTACTTATGTGATGACTTTTATTTTCTTTAGCCTAAAATTGTTTTCCTTTATGTTAGCTTGTAATAAAACTGCTTGTAATTTTTGTGACCATAAGTATGATTTGATTAGGGCTTCACACAAGAGCGAAATTCTTCTCATCTTCAGAAAGCAAGACGAGACGAGACAAGACGAGACGTTTTGGAAAATATTATGGGCTATACCGTTGTTGGTCTCGTTAAATTTTTTTATGAAATTTTTATTCGAAAAAATTAAATGTGTAAAATTAAAAGATTTATATACATGTACAAATATTCTTGTATAAGAGCGTAATAAATATATATGTAGTTG